TAATCAGATTACATTACTCACCTCAAGTAATTTAATGGATTATGTTACAAACTACATTTTGGGGTGTGTAATCTGTAATCTGTAGGGGATTACATTTTAAAAGTATACTTCCCAACACTGTCTATATGTGTACATGTGTATATATGTGTACATGTGTATATATGTGTATATATGTGTACATGTGTATATAATGTGTATAATGTGGTACATGTGTATAATGTGTACATGTGTATATGTGTACGTGTGTACATGTGTACATGTGTATATATATACATGTGTGTACATGTGTGTAATATGTGTACATGTGTATATATGTGTACATATGTGTACATGTGTATATATGTGTACATGTGTACATATGTATATGTCATGTGTATAATATGTGTACATGTGTAATGTGTACATGTGTAATGTGTATATATATGTGTATATGTGTATATAATGTACATGTGTACATGTGTACATGTGTATATATGTGTACATGTGTACATGTGTATACATGGTACACGTGTATATGTGTATATATGTGTATGTGTGTGTATACATGTGTATATATATGTACACATGTGTATATATGTGTAATGTGTGTATATATGTACATGTGTACATGTGTATATATGTGTATATATGTGTCATGTGTATATATGTGTATATGTGTATATATGTGTATATATATGTACATGTGTATATATGTGTACATGTGTATATATAACATGTATGTGTATATGTGTATATGTGTACATGTGTATATGTGTATATATTGTACATGTGTACATGTGTACATGTGACATGTGTATATATGTACATGTGTATATATATGTACATGTGTATATATGTGTACATGTGTATATATGTGTACATGTGTACGTGTATATATGTGTACATGTGTATATATGTGTACGTGTATATATGTGTACATGTGTATACATGTGTATATATGTGTACATGTGTACGTGTGTATACATGTGTACATGTGTATACATGTGTATATATGTGTACATGTGTATACATGTGTACATGTATATATGTACATGTGTACATGTGTATATATGTGTACATGTGTATGTGTATATGTGTACATGTGTATATATGTGTATATATGTGTACATGTGTATATATATGTACATGTGTACATGTGTATATATGTGTACGTGTATATATGTGTACATGTGTATATATGTGTACATGTGTATATATGTGTACATGTGTGTACATGTGTATATATGTGTACATGTGTATATATGTGTATATATGTGTATGTGTACTATGTGTAGATGTGTATATGTGTATATGTGTATATATGTGTACATGTGTATATATGTGTATATGTGTGTACATGTGTATATATGTGTACTGTGTACATGTGTACATGTGTATATATGTGTACGTGTATATATGTGTACATGTGTATACATTGTGTATATATGTGTACATGTGTACGTGTGTATACATGTGTACATGTGTATACATGTGTATATATGTGTACATGTGTATATATATGTACATGTGTATATATGTGTACATGTGTATATATGTGTACATGTGTATATATATGTACATGTGTATATATGTGTACATGTGTATATATGTGTACATGTGTATATATATGTACATGTGTATATATGTGTACATGTGTATATATATGTACATGTGTATATATGTGTACATGTGTATATATGTGTACATGTGTATATATGTGTATATGTGTATATATGTGTACATGTGTATATATGTGTACATGTGTACATATGTGTATATGTGTATATATATGTGTATATATGTGTACATGTGTACATATGTGTAGATGTGTATATGTGTATATATGTGTATATATGTGTATATGTGTATATATGTGTATATGTGTATATATGTGTACATGTGTACATATGTGTAGATGTGTATATGTGTATATATGTGTATATATGTGTACATGTGTATATATGTGTATATGTGTGTACATGTGTATATATGTGTACCTGTGTACATGTGTATATGTGTATATATGTGTACATGTGTATATATGTGTACATGTGTATATATGTGTACATGTGTATATATGTGTATATATGTGTACATGTGTATATATGTGTATATATGTGTACATGTGTATATGTGTACATGTGTATATATGTGTATATATGTGTACATGTGTATATATGTGTACATGTGTGTACATATGTGTATATGTGTACATGTGTATGTGTATATGTGTACATGTGTACATGTGTGTGTATATGTGTATATATGTGTATATGTGTACATGTGTGTATATGTGTGTATGTGTATGTGTTACATGTGTATATATGTGTACATGTGTATATATGTGTATATATGTGTACATGTGTATATAGTGTAATGTGTACATGTGTATATATGTGTATATGTGTATACATGTGTACATGTGTATATATGTGTATATATGTGTACATGTGTATGTGTATATGTGTACATGTGTATATGTGTACATGTGTACATGTGTATATATGTGTATATGTGTATACATGTGTATACATATGTGTACATGTGTATATATGTGTATATATGTGTACATGTGTATATATGTGTACATGTGTATATATTTGTACATGTGTATATATGTGTACGTGTATATATGTGTACATGTGTATATATTTGTACATGTGTATATATGTGTACATGTATATATATGTGTACATGTGTATATATGTGTACATGTGTATATATGTGTACATGTGTTATATATGTGTACATGTGTATACATACATGTGTATGTGTATATATGGTGTACATGTGTACGTGTGTATACAGTGTATATATGTGTACGTGTATATATGTGTACATGTGTATATATATGTGTACATGTGTAATTGTATATATGTGTACATGTGTACGTGTGTATACATGTGTACATGTGTATACATGTGTATATATGTGTACATGTGTATATATATGTGTATGTATATGTGTACATGTGTATATATGTGTACATGTGTATATATGTGTACATGTGTATATATGTGTATATGTGTATATATGTGTACATGTGTATATATGTGTACATGTGTATATGTGTATATATGTGTACATGTGTATATATGTGTATATATGTGTACATGTGTATATATGTGTACATGTGTATATATGTGTATATATGTGTACATGTGTATATATGTGTATGTGTATATATGTGTACATGTGTACATGTGTATATATGTGTACATGTGTATATATGTGTACATGTGTATATATATATGTACATGTGTATATATGTGTACATGTGTATATATGTGTACATGTGTATATATATGTAATGTGTACATGTGTATATATGTGTACATGTGTACGTGTATATATGTGTACATGTGTACATGTGTATATATGTGTACATGTGTATACATGTGTATATATGTGTACATGTGTACGTGTGTATACATGTGTACATGTGTATACATGTGTATATATGTGTACATGTGTATATATATATGTACATGTGTACATGTGTATATATGTGTACATGTGTATAATGTGTATATATGTGTACAAATATATGTGTACTGTGTTATATATGTACGTATATGTGTACATGTGTATATGTGTATGTGTATATGTGTACATGTGTACATGTGTATATATGTGTACATATATGTGTACATGTGTATATGTGTATATATGTGTACATGTGTATATATGTGTACATGTGTATATATATGTACATGTGTATTATATGTGTACATGTGTTATATGTGTACTGTGTATATGTGTACATATGTGTAATGTGTATATATGTGTAATGTGTACATGTGTATATATGTGTACATGTATATATGTGTACATGTGTTATATATATGTACATGTGTATATATGTGTATATATGTACATGTGTGTATACATGTGTATATATAATGTGTATATATGTGTACATGTGTATATATGTGTACATGTGTATATATATGTACATGTGTATATATGTGTACATGTGTATATATGTGTACATGTGTATATATGTGTATATATGTGTATATATGTGTACATGTGTATATATGTGTACATGTGTATATATGTGTATATGTGTATATATGTGTACATGTGTATATATGTGTATATATGTGTACATGTTGTATATATTGTATATGTGTGTATATATGTGTACATGTGTATGTGTATATGTACATGTGATATATGTGTACATGTGTATATATGTGTGTACATGTGTATATATGTGTACATGTGTATATATATGTGTACATGTGTAATATATGTGTACATGTGTATATAATGTGTATATATGTGTACATGTGTATATGTGTATGTGTATACATGTGTATATATGTGTACATGTGTATATATACATGTGTATATGTGTACATGTGTATATATGTGTACCTGTGTACATGTGTTATATGTGTAACATGTGTATACATGTATAATGTGTACATGTGTATATATGTGTATATGTGTATATATGTGTTGTGTATGTGTACATGTGTATATATGTGTACATGTGTATATATGTTACATGTGTACATATGTGTACATTGTATATTGTATGTGTATATGTGTATATATGTGTACATGTGTATATATGTGTACATGTGTGTACATGTGTATATGTGTATGTGTACATATGTACATGTGTATATATGTATATATGTGTACGTGTATATGGTACATGTGTATATTTGTACATGTGTATATGTGTACGTGTATATATTACATGTGTATATATGTGTACATGTGTATATATGTGTACATGTGTATATATGTGATATATATGTGTACATGTGTATATATGTGTACATGTGTATATATGTGTATAAGTATATACACATGTTTATATGTGTTCAAGACTCAGATTAAAGTCTGAGAGTTTCAGACAGAGCAGTGCCTCCCGTCAGCGTCTCACCTCAGAGCATCAACACACAAATGGACTTTAGTTTTTCATTTTGAATTTTTTCTGTGGCTGAAACTTTAATCTGTGTGAAACCAAATAAATAAACTTTTACAAAGTTTCAAAACGGGTTTTTATTTCTGAACAAAAAACATTTATGTAAAAACACAAAAGACAAAGAGACAAAAGGACAGAGGGACAGAGACAGAGACAGAAATTGTTTGAAATTGTGCAAAATAAAAATCTTTCTTCTGGTATTTGGTCTGATTCAGCGTTTGTCTGAGGTCAGAGGTCAAAGGTCAGAGGGACAGAGGTCAAAGGGTCAGAGGTCAGTCTCAAAAAAACAAACAAAAAAAGCATAAAAAAACCCAAACAGAATTAAAAGAAGTGATTTTGTGATTAAATATGATTTTAATGAGTTTTAATGAATACAAATATTTCTGCTCCAACTCACAAAACAGAACTAAACCAGAACTAAACCAGGACTAAACCAGAACTAAACCAGAACTAAACCAGAACTAAACCAGAACTAAACCAGGACTAAACCAAAACAGTTCTAAACCAGGTCTAAACCAGGTCTAAACCAGGTCTAAACCAGAACTAAACCAGGACTAAGCGAAGGTTTTTCTGGAGTTAGTGAAAGGAGAATCCAGATCCAGGCACTGATCCGCACCACTGCCCCAAAAACCTCAGGACGTCCTGACACTCCGGACTGTGGGACGTCTGCAGAGACAGAGAGACGGCCAATCAGCAGAGAGCAGCACACAGGAACAACAGCCAATTACAGAGCAGCACACAGGAACAACAGCCAATTACAGAGCAGCACACAGGAACAACAGCCAATCACAGAGCAGCACACAGGAACAACAGCCAATTCAGAGAGCAGCACACAGGAACAACAGCCAATCACAGAGCAGCACACAGGAACAACAGCCAATCAGAGAGCAGCACACACAACAACAGCCAATCACAGAGCAGCACACAGGAACAACAGCCAATCACAGAGCAGCACACCGGAACAACAGCCAATCACAGAGCAGCACACCGGAACAACAGCCAATCACAGAGCAGCACACCGGAACAACAGCCAATCAGAGAGCAGCATGAGTGAGGAGACGGATCTGAACCTTTGTGGCCATGAGGAACTTGTTCCAGTCGTCTTTATTTGCGGCTCTTCCAGAAGACGAGAACTCCACAGGACTCCGGATCACCGGGTAACCTGAGGAACACAAGAACACAAGAGAACACTCCTGAGGAACACAAGAACACAAGAGAACACTCCTGAGGAACACAAGAACACAAAGAGAAACTCCTGAGGAACCAAGAAACAAGAGAACACTCCTGAGGAACACAAGAGAACACTCCTGAGGAAACAGAACTCCTGAGAACACAAGAACACAAGAGACAACACTCCTGAGGAACACAAGAACACAAGAGAACACTCCTGAGGACACAGAACACAAGAGAAACTCCAGAGGAACACAAGAACACAAGACAAACACTCTGAGACACAAGAACACAAGAGAACACTCCTGAGAACACAAGAACACAAGAGAACACTCTGAGGAACACAAGAAACAGAGAACACAAGGAACACAGAGAAACACTCCTGAGGAACACAAGAACACAAAGAGAACAAGAGAACACTCCAGAGAGAACACTCCAGAACACAAGAGAACACTCCTGAGGAACACAAGACACAAGAGAACATCCTGAGGAACACAAGAACACAAGAGAACACTCCAGAGAACACAGAAACAAGAGAACACTCCAGAGGAACAAGAACACAAGAGAACACTCTGAGGAACACAAGAACACAAGAGAACACTCTGAGGAACACAAGAACACAAGAGAACACCTGAGAACAAAGAACACAAGAACACACAAGAACACACCCTGAGAACACAAGAGAACACTCTGAGAGAACAGAGACAAGAGAACACTCCTGAGGAACACAAGACCCTGAGGACACAAGAGAACACTCCTGAGGAACACAAGAACACAAGAACACACTCCTGAGAACACAAGAACACAAGAGAACACTCCAAGAACACAAGAGAACACTCCAGAGAACACAAGAACACAAGAACACTGAGGAACACAAGAACAAGAGAACACTCCAGAGGAACACAAGAACACTCCTGAGGAACACAAGAACACAAGAGAACACTGAGAACACAGAACACAGAACACAAGAGAACACTCCTGAAACCAGGAACACAAGAACACAAGAGAACACTCCTGAGAACACAAGAACACAGAGAACAAGAACAAGAGAACACTCCTGAGGAACAGAGGAACAAGGAACACAAGAGAAACACTCCAGAGGAACAAGAACACAAGAGAACACTCCTGAGGAAACAAGAACACAAGAGAACACTCCTGAGGAACAAGAACACAAAGAACACTCCTGAGGAACACAAGAACACAAGAGAACACTCCTGAGGAACACAAGAACACAAGAGAACACTCCTGAGGAACACAAGAACACAAGGAACACACAGAACACAAGAGAACACTCCTGAGGAACACAAGAACACAAGAGAACACTCCTGAGGAACACAAGAACACAAGAGAACACTCCTGAGGAACACAAGAACACAAGAGAACACTCCTGAGGAACACAAGAACACAAGAGAACACTCCTGAGGAACACAAGAACACAAGAGAACACTCCTGAGGAACACAAGAACACAAGAGAACACTCCTGAGGAACACAAGAACACAAGAGAACACTCCAGAGGAACACAAGAACACAAGAGAACACTCCTGAGGAACACAAGAACACAAGAGAACACTCCTGAGGAACACAAGAACACAAGAGAACACTCCTGAGGAACACAAGAACACAAGAGAACACTCCTGAGGAACACAAGAACACAAGAGAACACAGAGAACACAAGAACACAAGAGAACACTCCAGAGGAACACAAGAACACAAGAGAACACTCCTGAGGAACACAAGAACACAAGAGAACACTCCAGAGGAACACAAGAATATCTGCTCATACAAACAAGAACTTGCAAGAACACTGGGTGCCCTACACAGAAAATAGTATTTGCAGTATTTGCAGCAGTAGTAGTAGTAGTAGCAGTAATAGTAGTATTTGCAGTAGTAGTATTTGTAGTATTTGCAGTAGTATTTGCAGTAGTAGTAGTAGTAGCAGTATTTACCGGTGAGTACACAGGGCAGTAGTATTTGTAGTAGTAGTAGTATTACCGGTGAGGACACAGGGCAGTAGTATTTTGCAGTAGTAGTAGTATTTGTAGTATTACCGGTGAGGACACAGGGCAGTAGTATTTGCAGTAGTAGTAGTATTACCGGTGAGGACACAGGGCAGTAGTATTTGTAGTATTTGTAGTAGTAGTAGTATTTGTAGTAGTAGTAGTATTTGTAGTATTTGTAGTAGTATTTGCAGTAGTAGTAGTAGTAGCAGTATTTACCGGTGAGTACACAGGGCAGTAGTATTTGTAGTAGTAGTAGTATTTGTAGTCGTAGTAGTATTTGTAGTATTTGTAGTAGTAGTAGTATTACCGGTGAGGACACAGGGCGAGTAGTATTTGTAGTATTTGTAGTAGTAGTAGTATTTGTAGTATTACCGGTGAGGACACAGGGCAGTAGTAGTAGTAGTAGTAGTAGTATTTGTAGTATTTGTAGTAGTAGTAGTATTTGTAGTATTACCGGTGAGGACACAGGGCAGTAGTATTTGTAGTATTGTAGTATTACCGGTGAGGACACAGGGCAGTAGTAGTAGTTTGTGTAGTAGTAGTATTTGTAGTATTACCGGTGAGGACACAGGGCAGTAGTATTTGTAGTATTTGTAGTATTTGTAGTATTACCGGTGAGGACACAGGGCAGTAGTATTTGTAGTATTACCGGTGAGGACACAGGGTAGTAGTATTTGTAGTATTTGTAGTAGTAGTAGTATTTGTAGTATTACCGGTGAGGACACAGGGCAGTAGTAGTAGTAGTAGTAGTTTGTAGTATTTACCGGTGAGGACACAGGCAGTAGTATTTGTAGTATTACCGGTGAGGAACAAGGGTAGTAGTATTGTAGTAGTAGTAGTATTTGTAGTATTACCGGTGAGGACACAGGGCAGTAGTAGTAGTAGTAGTATTTGTAGTATTACCGGTGAGGACACAGGGCAGTAGTAGTAGTAAGTAGTATTTGTAGTATTTGTAGTATTTGTAGTATTACCGGTGAGGACACAGGGCAGTAGTAGTAGTAGTAGTAGTATTTGTAGTATTACCGGTGAGGACACAGGGCAGTAGTATTTGTAGTAGTAGTAGTATTTGTAGTATTACCGGTGAGGACACAGGGCAGTAGTATTTGTAGTAGTAGTAGTATTTGTAGTATTACCGGTGAGGACACAGGGCAGTAGTATTTGTAGTATTTGTAGTATTTTGTAGTATTACCGGTGAGGACACAGGGCAGTAGTATTTGTAGTAGTAGTAGTATTTGTAGTATTACCGGTGAGGACACAGGGCAGTAGTATTTGTAGTATTACCGGTGAGGACACAGGCAGTAGTAGTAGTAGTAAGTAGTATTTGTAGTTTTGTAGTATTACCGGTGAGGACACAGGGCAGTAGTAGTAGTAGTAGTAGTAGTAGTATTTGTAGTATTACCGGTGAGGACACAGGGCAGTAGTATTTAGTAGTAGTAGTAGTATTTGTAGTATTACCGGTGAGGACACAGGGCAGTAGTAGTAGTAGTATTAGTAGTAGTATTTGTAGTATTACCGGTGAGGACACAGGGCAGTAGTAGTAGTATTTGTAGTATTTGTAGTATTACCGGTGAGGACACAGGGCAGTAGTAGTAGTATTTGTAGTAGTAGTAGTATTACCGGTGAGGACACAGGGCAGTAGTAGTAGTAGTAGTATTTGTAGTATTTGTAGTATTACCGGTGAGGACACAGGGCAGTAGTAGTAGTAGTAGTAGTAGTAGTAGTATTGTAGTAGTATTTGTAGTATTTTGTAGTATTTGTAGTATTTGTAGTATTACCGGTGAGGACACAGGGCAGTAGTATTTGTAGTATTTGTAGTATTTGTAGTATTACCGGTGAGGACACAGGGCAGTAGTAGTAGTATTTGTAGTATTTGTAGTATTTGTAGTATTTGTAGTATTTGTAGTAGTAGTAGTATTACCGGTGAGGACACAGGGCAGTAGTATTTGTAGTATTTGTAGTATTTGTAGTATTTGTAGTATTTACCGGTGAGGACACAGGGCAGTAGTATTTGTAGTATTTGTAGTATTGTAGTAGTATTTGTAGTATTACCGGTGAGGACACAGGGCAGTAGTAGTAGTAGTAGTATTTGTAGTATTTGTAGTATTACCGGTGAGGACACAGGGCAGTAGTAGTAGTAGTAGTATTTGTAGTATTTGTAGTATTACCGGTGAGGACACAGGGCAGTAGTAGTAGTAGTAGTAGTAGTAGTATTTGTAGTATTACCGGTGAGGACACAGGGCAGTAGTAGTAGTATTTGTAGTAGTAGTAGTATTTGTAGTATTTAGTAGTATTACCGGTGAGGACACAGGGCAGGGACGTGAGGCCGGTGGAGGAGCAGGTCAAAGTTCCTTCGTAACTGTTTCTTTCGTCTTTGGGTAAAACCTGCTCCAGACGCTGATCCATGGAAACCATCAGAACCCAGTCTCTGATCTGCTCCCTCTGCTCCTCCTGAGGACATCAGGAGAACATCAGGAGAACATCAGGAGAACATCACCAGAACATCACCAGAACATCAGGAACACATCACAAAGAACATCAGGAGAACATCAGGAGGACATCAGGAGAACATCAGGAGAACATCAGGAAAATAACAGGAGAACATCACCAGAACATCACAAGAACATGAGGAGAACATCAGGAGACCACCAGGAGAACATCAGGAAGGCATCAGGAGAACATCAAAAGAACATGAGGAGAACATGAGGAGGTGCACTTTAAAAACACAGAGGAGGAGCTCAGTGACATCACGAGGTGGAACAGAGTGTTTTGTTTCTTACAGAGACGAAGAGTTTGCTCGGCACTGGGACCTCGAAGGGAATATCTGTGTCGACGAAATCTGAGTGATCGAGTCCGTCCAGAGTCGCCTCCTCGATCGCCTGAACGAACAAAAACACAAACGCAAACACAAACGTCACGATTTATCTTCATCTGTGACGGACGAGACCCTCCAAACCTCACGTACGATATTATCACCATGTCCAAACCTCACGTACGATATTATCACCATGTCCAAACCTCACGTACGATATTATCACCATGTCCAAACCTCACGTACGATATTATCACCATGTCCAAACCTCACGTACGATATTATCACCATGTCCAAACCTCACGTACGATATTATCACCATGTCCAAACCTCACGTACGATATTATCACCATGTCCAAACCTCACGTACGATATTATCACCATGTCCAAACCTCACGTACGATATCACCATTTCACCATGTCCAAACCTCACGTACGATATTATCACCATGTCCAAACCTCACGTACGATATTATCACGATGTCCAAACCTCACGTACGATATTTATCACCATGTCCAAACCTCACGTACGATATATCACCACATGTCCAAACCTCACGTACGATATTATCACCATGTCCAAACCTCACGTACGATATTATCACCATGTCCAAACCTCACGTACGATATTATCACCATGTCCAAACCTCACGTACGATATTATCACGACGTCCAAACCTCACGTACGATATTATCACCATGTCCAAACCTCACGTACGATATTATCACCATGTCCAAACCTCACGTACGATATTATCACCATGTCCAAACCTCACGTACGATATTATCACCATGTCCAAACCTCACGTACGATATTATCACCATGTCCAAACCTCACGTACGATATTATCACGACGTCCAAACCTCACGTACGATATTATCACCATGTCCAAACCTCACGTACGATATTATCACCATGTCCAAACCTCACGTACGATATTATCACGATGCACAAACCTCACGTACGATATTATCACCATGTCCAAACCTCACGTACGATATTATCACCATGTCCAAACCTCACGTACGATATTATCACCATGTCCAAACCTCACGTACGATATTATCACCATGTCCAAACCTCACGTACGATATTATCACGACGTCCAAACCTCACGTACGATATTATCACCATGTCCAAACCTCACGTACGATATTATTCACATGTCCAAACCTCACGTACGATATATTACCTCACGTACGATATTATCAAACCTCACGTACGATATTATCACCATGTCCAAACCTCACGTACGATATTATCACCATGTCCAAACCTCACGTACGATATTATCACCATGTTCAAACCTCACGTACGATATTTACTGTGATATTTTGGAGAAGTTTATATAATTGTAGACGTGACACTGTTTTGGTTTTTAAAATGCCCCGACTAGATTTTGTTGTGGATTATTTCCGTCATGATCCCAAAAATTCAAGTAAAATCATATTTCTTCATGTTTGTGCTGAAATGAATCATGGGAAATGTAGTTCTGATGTTTATAAACTGTTGTTTCTATAAAATCTGCATTTAAACAAAGGAACATGTGATTTGATTTATTGTGCGGCTCCACGATGTTATTGTGAGACTTTTGACGATACGATATCATGATATTTCCGTTCTTGTCACGTCACAGTAAACACCATAAATATCTGAGTCCAGATATTTTCCGTGTGGATCAGTGAAGTTTGAGTCTGTGCGTCTAAAGTCGAGTTCAGCGTCACACGAGAACAAAGAACCGACACAGACGTTCTCCTGAAGAGTTACTCACGTCACACAGATCCAAGAAGTGATTCAGGAAGATGAACGCCATACTGTCCCAGCCCTCGGCCTGAACACACAACAAATACACACAACACACACAACAAACACACACAGACACACACAACAAACACACACAGACACACACAACACAAAAGAATCGTCATTAACTTCACATTCAGAGACTCAGATGAGCAGGACGTTTTAAATGTGTTCTCTTTGGCGTCTCAGAGTTTAAAAACACTTGAACATCTGAGATCCTTCATGACTTAAGCTGTTCTGTGGTTCGTACCCTGCAGTCTGTTCCCGCCTCGAAGAACGCCTTATCTGCAGGAACCACCTCAGTGTGACGGAGCAGAGACACCGAGAGCTTCGAGGCAACGCTCGACTGAAAAACAACCAAGAAAATACTAATTATACACAGGAGAAGGTCAGAGGAACAGAGGAGAAGGTCAGAGGAACAGAGGAGAAGGTCAGAGGAACAGAGGAGAAGGTCAGAGGAACAGAGGAGAAGGTCAGAGGAACAGAGGAGAAGGTCAGAGGAACACAGAAGGTCAGAGGAACAGAGGAGAAGGTCAGAGGAACAGAGGAGAAGGTCAAAGGAACAGAGGAGAAGGTCAGAGGAACACAGAAGGTCAGAGGAACAGAGGAGAAGGTCAGAGGAACAGAGGAGAAGGTCAGAGGAACAGAGGAGAAGGTCAGAGGAACAGAGGAGAAGTCAGAGGAACACAAGGTCAGAGGAACAGAGGAGAAGGTCAGAGGAACAGAGGAGAAGGTCAAAGGAACAGAGGAGAGTCAGGAGAAGGTCAGAGGAACAGAGGAGAAGGTCAGAGGAACAGAGGAGAAGGTCAAAGGAACAGAGGAGAAGGTCAAAGGAACAGAGGAGAAGGTCAGAGGAACAGAGGAGAAGGTCAGAGGAACAGAGGAGAAGGTCAAAGGAACAGAGGAGAAGGTCAAAGGAACAGAGGAGAAGGTCAAAGGAACAGAGGAACAGACAAGAGGGTCAGAGGAGAAGGTCAGAGGAGCAGAGGTTGAGGTGAAGCAGGTGGAGGTGGAGATTGAGGTGGAGCAGGTGGAGCAGAGGTTAGAGGTTGAGGTGGAGCAGAAGTGTAGCAGGTGAAGCAGAGGTGGAGATGGAGCAGGTGTAGTGCAGATTGAGGTGGAGCAGATGGTTTGGAGGGTGTTGCAGGTGTAGTTGTAGTTGTAGGTGTAGGTTGTAGTTGTAAGTTGTAGGTGTAGTTGTAGGTGGTTGTAGTGTAGTTGTAGTTGTAGTTGTAGGTGTAGGTGTAGTAGATGTAGGTGTAGTGTAGTTGTAGTGTAGTTGTAGTGGTGTAGTTGTAAGTTGTAGTGTAGTTGTAGTGTAGTTAGGTGTAGTTGTAGGTTGTAGTGTAGTTGTAGGTGTAGTGTAGTGTAGGTGTAGTTGTAGTTGTAGGTGTAGTTGTAGTGTAGGTGTATGTAGGTGTAGTTGTAGTGTAGTTGTAGGTGTAGTTGTAGTTGTAGGTGTAGTTGTAGGTGTAGTGTAGTTGTAGGTGTAGTTGTAGTAGGTGTAGGTGTAGTTGTAGGTGTAGTTGTAGTAGTGTAGTGTAGTTGGTGTAGTTGTAGTTGTAGTTGTAGTTGTAGTTGTTAGGTGTAGGTGTGTAGTTGTAGTTGTAGTGGTGTAGTGTAGGTGTAGTTGTGTGTGTTGTGGTGTAGGTGTAGTTGTAGTTGTAGGTGTAGGTGTAGTTGTAGTTGTGTAGTGTAGTGTAGGTGTAGGTGTAGTTGTAGTTGTAGGTGTAGTTGAAGTTGTAGTGTATGTAGTTGTAGTTGTAGTTGTAGTTAGTTGGTGTAGGTGTAGTTGTAGTTGTAGGTTGTAGGTGTAGTTGTAGTGTAGGTGTAGTTGTTGGTGTGTTGTAGGTGTAGTTGTAGTTGTTGTAGTAGTGTAGTTGTAGGTGTATGTTGTAGGTGTGTAAGTTGTAGTGTAGTTGTAGTTGTAGGTGTTAGTTGTGTGGTTGTAGTTGTAGGTGTAGTTGTAGTGTAGGTGTAGGTGTAGTTGTAGTTGTAGGTGTAGGTTGTAGTTGTAGTTGTAGTTGTAGTTGTAGTTGTAGTGTAGTAGGTGTAGTTGTAGTTGTAGTTGTAGGTGTAGTTGTAGTGTAGTTGTAGTTGGTTGTAGGTGTAGTGTGTAGGTGTAGTTGTAGGTGTAGTTGTAGTGTAGGTGTAGTTGTAGTGTGTAGGTGTAGGTGTAGTTGTAGGTGTAGTTGTAGGTGTAGTTGTAGTTGTAGGTGTAGTTGTAGGTGTAGTTGTAGGTGGTGTAGTTGTAGATGTAGGTGTAGGTGTAGTGTAGGTGTAGTGTAGGTGTAGTTGTAGTTGTAGTTGTAGGTGTAGTTGTAGGTGTAGTGTGTTGTTGTAGGTGTAGTTGTAGTTGTGGTTGTTGTAGTGTAGTGTAGTAGTGTAGGTGTAGTTGTAGGTGTAGTTGTAGGTGTAGTTGTAGTTGTAGTTGTAGGTAGGTGTAGTTGTAGGTGTAGTTGTAGTTGTAGGTGTTTTTGGTGTAGTTGTAGTTGTAGTTGTAGTTGTAGGTGGTAGGTGGTAGTAGGTGTAGTTGTAGTGTGTGTAGTGTGGTGTAGTGTAGTGTAGTTGTATGTTGTAGTTGTAGGTGTAGTTGTTGTGTAGGTGTAGTTGTAGTGTTGTGTGTAGTTGTAGTTGTAGGTGTAGTAGGTGTAGTTGTAGGTGTAGTTGTTGTAGTTGTAGGTGTAGTTGTAGGTGTAGGTGTAGGTGTAGTTGTAGGTGTTTGTGGTGTAGTGTAGTTGTAGTAGGTGTAGGTGTAGTTGTAGTTGTGTGTAGGTGTATTGTTGTAGTTGTAGTGTGTGGTAGTTGTAGGTGTAGTTGTAGGTGTAGTTGTAGTTTGTTGTAGGTGTAGTTTGTAGGTGTAGTTGTAGGTGTAGTTGTAGGTTGTAGGTGTAGTTGTAGGTTGTAGTAGGTGTAGTTGTAGGTGTAGGTGTTGTAGGTGTAGTTGTAGGTGTAGTGTAGTTGTAGGTGTAGTTGTAGGTGTAGTTGTGGTGTAGTTGTAGTGTAGTTGTAGTTGTAGTTGTAGGTGTGTGTAGTGTTTGGTGTAGGTGTAGGTGTAGTAGGTGTAGGTGTATTGTGTTTGTAGTTGTAGTTGTAGGTGTAGGTGTAGTTGTAGTGTTGGTGTTGTAGTTGTAGTTGTAGTTGTAGTTTGTAGGTGTAGTGTAGTTGTAGTGTGTTTGTAGTTGTAGGTGTAGTTGTAGGTGTAGTGTAGTTGTAGTTGTGGTGTAGGTGTAGTGTAGTGTAGTTGTAGTAGTGTAGTTGTAGTTGTGTAGTGTAGGTGTAGTTGTAGGTGTAGTTGTAGGTGTAGTTGTAGTTGTAGTTGTAGGTGTAGTTGTAGTTGTAGGTGTAGTTGTAGGTGTAGTTGTAGTGTAGTTGTAGTTGTAGGTGTAGTTGTTGGTGTAGGTGTAGTTGTAGGTGTAGTTGTAGTGTGTAG